GCGAGCATGGACGTGAGCATCGCCCCGCTGCGCGCCTGGGACGACTTCTTCCCGGGCTCCGACCGCTTCGCGCGCCCGGACTTCAGGGACGTCTCGAAATGGAACAACCGTGTGGTCAGCAACCTGCTCTACTACCAGACCAACTACCTGGTGGTGGCCGCCCTGATGGTCTCCGTCGTGGGGTGAGTGGCCGGGCTGCAGACACTGCCCTGCCCTCGCTGCAGGCCGCCGGAGGGCTGGGGGGCCAGGCCAGGGCAGGACGGTCCACAGCTGCCAGGGGACACCGCCCTCAGCACCGGGTGTGCCTTCCCTGCCAGTCCGGAGGGCCTGGGGTCCTGGCTCAGGTCTGTCCACAGCTGCGAGGGGACACCGCCCTCAGCCACTGGGTGCGCCCTCCCTGCGGGTCAGCGGAGAGGCTGGAGGCCAGGCGAGGCGTTTCTGAGCAGACGCTGGGTCTCTGGAGGCCCTGCCACCTGCCAGGGCCTGGGCTCCTTCCCCGGAGGGCTGGGCCTGGGGCCCGGGAGCTGGTAGGGCACCGCTGCCCACCGGGGGCAGGGAAATTTCTTCTCCCCCTGTGCTGGGATCAAGCTCTAGCTGAGGAGATGTTTGTACAGGTTTTTAAAAATAAGAAGAAAGTGGTGTAACCTTGTCCTGGGGCTGCCTGGGCGCCACCCAGAGAGGACACACCCAGAGTGTGTCCTAAAGGGGCATCCCGTCGGTTTGTCCCCTAAGCCTGCCAGACTCTAGGGCAAGGCTGACCCGGGAGCAGAGGGTGCCTATCCACTAGGGCACATGCCCCAGTGGGGGCAGCTCTGGGAGCAGGCCCCTGGCAGCTTCTCCCTGCCTGCCTGCCTGGTCACCTTTCCCCACTCCTGATCCTGGGGTCTCAGTGATGTTGAAAAACTACCCTGGTTTAATTAGGGTGGCGCACATGGGTACACACACACACACACACACAGACACACACACACACATATTCTTCAGAAACCACACTGCCTTGCAGTTCACCCTCTGAAACATGCTTCTCCCACCTTTGCCAGATGGGAGACAGTGTTCTCCATGTGATTATCTCCTACACATCTTTAAAGAAAAAGCCATCCCAAGACTGAAAATGCAGGGACTCGCTTGCCCTTAAACAAGTGTCTGACATCTCTACTTCTACAGCTCTGCCTTGGAAGGAAAGTGAGCAATTCGCACTTGGAGGGTGTGGGAAAGGGTGAGCAGGATGGGGTGCTAAGTTGCCGCCGCGCTGTGAGTTGGCTACGTCCCTGCGCCAGGCCCCACACCAAGCTCCAGCGCAGCAAGATGAATCAGACTTGAATCCTGTCCCGGGGACACATGGCATTTTCTGACAAGCTCTAGGAGCAAAGGCACAGCACCGAGGAGGGGAGAGTTCAGTGTCCGGGTGTGGCTCAGAATGGTCACCCTGCAGAAGCAGAAGGCCCACGGGTGGGGGCCCAGCGGTCTGTGGGCTCCTCCAGGGGGGATGGCTTGAGGTGGACCTCCCCCTAGCTCTGTGCTTCTTTTCTGAAACTCATTTAAAAGGAAAAAAAAAAAAAGAAGAAGTAGAAAGTAAGTTTTGCGTTTGCTTCCTTTTCCTTGGTGAAGAAGACAGGGCCTGTCTTATCTGGTGATCTAGTTATGTGGGTGTTTTCTTCAGGCAACTCCAAGAACAGAGACAAGGCAAAGTTTGACACACATCAGTCAAATGTACAAAAACAAAGAGCATTTTCTTATCTTTTTTTTTTCCCCCCAAAAGTCATGCTGACCAAACCAGACGCAAGCTCAGGCAGCCTTGCAGCTTTGACTCACTGCGAAGGCCAGGGCCGGCCCCTTGACTAAATATAGCTCCCCCCTTGTGGTGCCCGAGGCCGGTGACGCTTCCTCCGGTTTGGGGGTGTTGGCTCTTCTCCTTCCAAGTAGAAGATGTTAACTGCTAGTGACATTTTCGAAGGAAAAAGTGAAAAGTACCCATGGCAGTTTTTATTATCCTTATTTTTTAAAAATTTACCATAGATTTAGGGCAGTCATTGTAAAAAGTTCTTTTAAAAATTGAGTGTGTGTCAAATGGTAAATGCCCTTCACAACTCAACAAAAATTTAGGTATATAACCTTTAACTGTTTTCTAGCACCTAAAAATACGTACTCTATAGTCCCCCCCCCCATCATTCTTTTCTTTCATTACAAACAAAAACAAGACAAATAAACAAGTATGGAGGGCTCTGGGTGTTGATGACTCAATCATCTGCTTTATGTGAGAGGATCTAATAAGTCAAGGATTACTACTCTAACACCTGAGGCTCAGAGAAGTTAAATGAGTTACTCAAAGTCGCAGACCCAGGCCTGTGCTCTTAACTACCGTGACATCTCGCAGTCATGAGGCTTGGCATGCTAGTTGCTCAAAGCTGGAGGAAACCCAATACCTTCAGGGCCAGGTTGGTCAGCTGATTCTGGGCCTTCCACATGCTGGAGAGAACTCTCCTGTTCTGCAGGGCAGCAGATGGGCGGGTCAGAGCTGCTGGAGGCTGCTAGCCTAGCTCCTGAACTCGCCCTGGATAGTTCCCCTGACCCAGTTGTTGCCCAAGGCCAGGACTGTTTGGAGGTGCTCACCTGGAGGAGCCTCGGGGGCAGCATTGGAGGCCTGTAGCCTGGGAGACTCTCTGATGTTGGAAAGGAGGTCAGGAGAGGATGGAGGAGGCCACTGGTCAGGATCACAGGAAGGGAGAGGCAGCCCCAGGACTCGACCCAGAAACACCGGGAGGACTCTGCTCCCCGGTGAAGATTGAGAGGGCTCAGGAGAGGACAGATCTGGGTGTGAGGTCCTTATTGGGCGGGGCTTGGTGAGCCTGGTCTTCCTCCTAAGAGGGAGGCTGGGCAGGCACCGGAGCCACAGCAGCGCAGCGGACTGTGTGTGTGAGAGGAATCGCAGCCCAGCCTGTTAGCGCCTAGCCCTCCTGGAAGATCTCGCCTCTTGTGCTCCGTGAGTAGTCAGGTAGTGGTTGGAAACAGACTGAGTTCAAGTCCCAGCTGCAGGACACCAGCTATGCACCCTGTGCTGAGCCGAGCCTCTGACGTGGCTAATGGTGCTTCTGCAGCTGGCCCACTCTGAGGACCAGCCAAGTGCATCAGGCCAGGCTCTCAGAGCAGGGCCAGCTGCCCCGTCTCTGCTCCAGAAAATGTTTTCTCCTATGGTTGTCTCTGTTGGCGTTACCAACGAGGGGGCTGAGAAATGCAGCCGTGCCTTCTATTTATCCATTTATTTTGGTACCAGGGATTGAACCCAGGAACACTTAACCACGGAGCCACACCCCCAGCCCTTTTTAGATTTTATTTTGAGACCCGGTCTTGCTAAGTTGCTCAGAGACTCACTAAGTTGCTGAGGACAGCTTTGAACTTGTGATCCTCCTGCCTCAGCCTCGGAGCCATTGGGATGACAGGGGTGCGCTCCTGTGCCCTGCTCCAGACAGCATTCTTATAGCCTAGACTCCATCCACCCCAAGCCCTGCCTCAGCTTCCTCACGCACCTGCAGACTGCAGCCTCCTCTGGGTCACCTCTCAGAGGCCACGCCCCTTTCTCCCTCCCACCAGTGTCATGGGGCCCCAGCCTGTGCTTAGAGCTTCCTGTTACCCCACGGGGTTTCAAGTGTCTCTCTGCTCTGGACTCTGGACTCCTCAGAGGCCAGGCCGCAGGCTTTGGTGCTGACAGCTTTTCCTTTGCTTTGTGTTTTATGGTTGTGATTGTGGTTCCCTGCATCCTGAGGCTGCCGTGTTGCACATACCAACGTGGTGAGTGCAGACAGGGTGTGGAGGCCAGACCTCCGCAGGGCCATGGGGCAGCTCACAGGAGCATGCCAACACATAGCTGAGGCAGCACGCTCCCACACGGATGGCCACTGGGTCATTGCCCGGGCACTGTGCTGTGTATGCATGGGTCAGCGTGATGGCAGCTGTGTCAAAATTAACTTAAGGAGATTATGTCAGACTGCACTGCTCTGTTTTAAGACCCTGGTGAGGTACTCTTCGGTCAGGCTTCTCCACCTCAGCACTGTGGACATTTGGCACCGTGTAGACTTGTGAGGGGCCGTGCCGTGCAGTGGGGTGCTTAGCTGCCTCTGCCTGCTGCCCCCCAGCCACACACCCTCCAGTCACCACAGTGGAGGTTCTTGCAGATGCCACTGGTGATTGAGAACCACCTGAAAAATCGGGCGATTCCTGCCGTCCACTGAACACCAGTTCCTTTGTAACAAGCTACAAAAGCAGCTCATAATTTTCTCGTAGGGGAGGGGTGAGTGGCCTGAAGCTTCACCTAGCTCCCACCTGTCATGTCCTCTCCCTTCCCTTAGTCTGCCTGAGGTCTCTCCTGGTTCTGCAGACTCTGTTTTTTTGTTTTCTGACGGAATGCTGATCTTGACTGCTCTGGAGTTCTGCTGCTCTAAAACAGGGATGGACGGAAAGACTTCATCAAGACCAAGTACATGAGGGCTTAGTGAGCAAGGGCAGCCCCGGTCCCGCTGCTGTGTGACATCCCAGGCTGTGAGCCCCTCTCCTGCCCATGCCTCGGGGGCTCCCTTAGGCAGAGGTGTCGGGGATGTGTGCCCTTTGGTGTGTCTGTTGCCACTTCAAGCTGTCTTCCTTATATAACTTCCTTCCTGTCGGGGCCTGCAGGCCTCCCTGCAGAAGGGACTGAGTGACTTATAAGAAACGGCCGGAGTAACAAGCTAGCCAGTGCTGTTTTGCTGAAAGCAGCCTCAGCTCCTTCCAGTGTCGAAGGAGAATGTGACGACTTCTGCGTCCTGGGCATGGGACGTCTCGGCACCAACATGCTGTGTTCATACCGTGCACAGCAATCCGAGCTGCTGCCTCTTTTTGTAAAGTGAAAAATCAAGGCGACAGTTAATTGTACTTGCAGTGTAAGTAACGAGCATGTGACGCGCTGCGGGAGCTTCTGTGCACTTGGTCGAAAGCCAAAAGATTTTAACTGGAAAATCCTATCCAGAGCGGACCGGGGACCAGCAGCAGTCTGACCTGTCAGCTTGTCAGAAATGAAGACTCTCTGACCCTACAGCAGACCTCTCGGGTCAGACTCCACCTTTTAAGATGATTCCTGTGCAGGTTAAAATTTCAGAAGCACTGCTCTGGAAGAAAAGAAAGACTGGCAGAACTTAAAGACACACACCGAACG